TAGACTGGGCTAGTCAAGTTTGGACCCCATGTAACACAAACAGAGCTGAAGACACAGCCAATTACTTCCCTCCACTTGTCAAAATATGTCAAATTTGCTTGATCACCACAACTTCAAAGAAAATTCTGAGGCAACTTAGAGAGGTTAATCAAATACTGCATGATTGGAATGGCTGTGGTTGTATGAGGTGGAAAGCTGCAGAGTTGGGCTGAAACTGTTCACAGAAACCCACAGGCTTGTGGTTGCCAGGCAACCACACTGGGCTGAGACTGGCTGAACATCACTGTGAGGTTGATTTTAATCTCTAGGTTTGAAAATTTAAAAGACTGGGGTAGTCAAGTTTGGAACCCATCGACCACAGACAGACCAAAAGGTCTTTCAATTACTTCCCTCCACTTCTCAAAATATGTCAAATTTTCTTGATCACTACAACTGTAAAAAAAATTCTGAGGCAACATAGAGAGGCTAATCAAATACTGCATGATTGGAATGGCTGTGGTTGTATGAGGTGGAAAGCTGCAGAGTTGGGCTGAAACAGTTCACAGAAATCCACAAGCTTGTGGTTGCCAGTCAACCACACTGGGCTGCAATTGGCTGAGCACCATTGTGAGCTGGACTTTAGGCTCTAGGACACAAGTGTGGAGTAGGAGACCTGAGTCACAATGCTGGGCGTTGCCATGGAGACCTCAGTGGCACAGAGGACCTTGTAGGGCAAGTTTTAAATAGGATGAATATTCTTGGCCTGGTGTGCCACCATATTCTCTCTGAAGGCTTCACTGCTCAGAATTTGTGGATGGAAATGCTTGCCAATCTACACATGGATGTACTTTCAATGGGATATGAAATATGCCAGGGCCTGGCAGATGATCTCTGCCATGTCCTATCATTGAGCATACGCTTTTCCCTTGTCATGTCTGTCATTTGGCTGAGTACTGTTCCCTAAGCTATTCAGTCAAGACTTGCTGGCATCATTCACTGCAGTATAAGAGCTTTCTGTGAAATTTCTCAGCAGAAATCCTCTGCAAGCACATAGCTTTGGATATGAGAGACAGCAGTGGAAGTTGAATTTCAAGGGCAGATATTTGAAAACAATTTAACAAGTCCCGAATAAGATCTTTACATGTTTCCCAGATGAATATGTTTGGAAATGCGGGGGAAGATGGAGATCAAGCCTGAGAGGAGTGCACACCCATTTCAAGGTACAAAAACCAGGGAAAAACATGGGAAAGCAAGAGAGCTGTTTAATCTGATGTAAAAATCTTTGATGACGAAAGGAAAATTATATTCTCATGATGATATAATCAGGCTGTAGAAGTGAACTTCTCATGTTGGTTCTCTTATGTGTGGCCTTCTGCATTGGGCGGTGGATGCAGGACAGGAGATCTTCAAATAAATCTGGTGGAACACAAAATACTGAAAAAAAAATTCAGCCTAAATCCTGTGTATTCCTTCCCTTTGAGAACATATATGGATAATGTATGAAGTTTCAAAAGAGAAAATGTCTATTGGGTCATGGTTTCAACAATGAAATGGTCACTTCACATAACATTTTGAATTTTGCTTTCACACTTGCTCATGTACCGGGCCTGAGTAAAGCAGAATGCAGAGTAAGCCTCTTCAATAGTTGTGCGTTCCATAAGTGGTTTTAAAACCAGGGAACCCCTTTGGACTTAGTGTTTGTATTTTATTGGTTGATTGGTTTTTCAAATTGTTTGTTTTACAATTTTTAACATTGTGAGTCAGGGAAGCCCTCACTCATAGAGATTCAGACCTCTCCAAAAGCTCTGAAGTTATTCATGTAACAGCTATTACATGTTATAAGTTTCTCCTATTAAAACTTGAAAGACAAACAGACTCTGCTACTTTTCATCGAAATTCAGTGTTGGGCTAAATTCAGTGTTGGACTTTTTACAATTCCTTTGAAATGTGTCCTCCTCTAGTCACTGGTCGTGCTGGAATTTACTTTCTTATGAAGACAGGATTTGAGCAAATTGACACAAGTACAGTTTGCCACTACTCTGGACACCTGGTTAAATATCGAGTTCCCTAAATGGTGTGTGTTTTACTTTGATCTCTGCTCACACTTTGCTCATCCAGTTAGAAACACAGGGCTCCAGGCCATAGCGTTCCAGGCCTAAACAAGAAAATTTCCATTCCGTTTTGGGAGTTCATTCGTCTCTCATAATTACTTTTTCCACAAATGTGTGCTTCAGGAGAGGCCCTGTCCAAATGTGGAGAGGCCCATTTTCATTCACTCACTTTCAGACTTTCTAAGATTTTCAGTTACTAGAGGTTTGCCCAGACTTGCCATTGTCAAGGGACAGTGCACTTCACTTGAAGTTGTGCAGTATTACTTCTGTTAGGGCCAACGCCGCAGGGAAAGAGACCCCAAGGACTCAGCTCTTGGTGAGGAAAGAAAGTTTATTTCCATGTGCATGGGGTCCCTCAGGCAAACGTGTGCGGAGGGGCCCCGAGGGGAATTTGTGCAGGGTTTTTAAAGGTACACGCAGGAGGCAAGCAAGTTTACAGAAGGAATTCGCATTGGTTAATTTTGAGCGGCGCAGGACCTGGCTAATGCTGATTTGAGGTTCTGGGGCTGAGTAACCATGGAGACCGAGGGTCTTGGGTTGACCTTAGAGTGCCAGGTGCTCCCTGGTCCTGTTTATACAGTACATTCTTTTGCTTATCTCTATCTTTACAAAGAACAGAACATCTAGTGGCTAATGACTAGCAGAGACATTCCTTTTGGCCCCGCTCTGACTATCTCCTGGGAAAAGGTTTAGGGAGTGAAGCACTCTTTACTGCTCTGTTTTGATAGCTCTGGGAAGTTAGGGAGTCAACTCTTTCATTCCCCGCTCTGGGGAGGGGGTTGTAGCAGGGGGGTCGACTCTCACACTCCCCCCTTTTATTTTTCCAATGACTTTTAATCCTAAAGGTCCTGTATAGGTAAGGGCTCATATTGTTGGCGTAGCACCATAACTTTTACCTGAGAGATCTGAGCCCTCACAAATTGGGTTACTCGGTTAATGAGGCAAGGGGCTATAGCCATGACTATAATGAATCCGGCCAGGGGTCCCAGTAAAGGGAGAACATAGGGCAGGATTGATTCCCAGAAGGAAAACATTTTGGCTTCACTTGAAGGGGGCTCTCGAGATTTGATTCTCTCTCTCAGCTTTTCCATTGTGTCTTTTACAATCCCAGTATGATCAGTGTAGAAACAACATTCTTCTCTAAGTGCAGCGCAGAGACCGCCTTCTTTTAAAAATAGAAGATCTAAGCCTCTTCTGTTCTGTAACACTACTTCAGATAGAGACGAGAGAGATTGTTGTAACGCAGTTATAGAAGTTTCTAAGGCCTGTAAATCTTGGTTTACTACTGCAAGGAGCTGTTGGCGAGACTGATGCCCAGTAATGAGGGCTGCTGTGCCAGTTCCTATCCCCCCCGCCACACCTATCCCCAATAGGACTGCTAGGGTCAGGGAGACAGGTTCTCGTTTATATCGACCTCCCATGAGGGGGAGTGTGTTAGGGGGGAGATATTTAATGCGTGGCATAAGGTCTATAAGGATGCAGGAGCTGCTGTCTGCAAGGAGGACGTTAGTGGAGACACAAGGAGTGAGCCCATTGGTACATAGCCAAAAGGCTCCAGTAGGAGGGACGAGGTACTGATCTTTGGGAAAGGAATTAGTGTGTGTGAGGCAAAGATGTTGCAAGCTTGTTGGCCAGTTATCAACTGCTCCTATACAAGTTCCTTGACCAGCGAGGCCAGGAAGGGGGAGAGTGTGGTATACTTGATTCCAATCGCATTGGCCGGGGTTGGGGGTTAGTGTATAAGAGTCATTTAGAGCGGTTCCCTCATAATACGGGGGATTAGGACTTAGACATAGCCAACAGGATTGGGGGAGATCAGGTCGGGTATGATTTAAAGCCATGTATGCTCCTTTAATCAAACTGAGTAGGTTAGAATGTGAATATTGAGGGACAGGTACGTGATCTGTCTGGAGTAGCGGAGCTTGAGAAACTGTTATGGCTGAGGGACTTACTATGGTTGTTTGAACAGTAGTAACAGGATCTATAGTAGGCTGATTATATTTTGGCTTTAGAGTAAAGTTTGGGCCTATGGGCACAAATGGGGCCTGCAGGGGAACCTTTTTTATAAGAATAAGGCTTCCCCTGTCTTTACCTGGCTCATAGACTCGAAGTCCCCAGGTGCGTCCTGTCAGCCAACCTGGGTCCTCAGGAGTGGTGACAGTGATATTTAGAACCTGACAGGATCTCTGACCAGCCGGTGGGTAGTTATCTAGGCTGCATCCCGGCGGCCCCCATGTCATTTTAAGGTGTTTATCGGGGAAGGCGGGTTGCCACCCTGTTGCAGCGGTTTCACAGCCCCAATAAGCACAAAAATATTCTCCTGGGGAATTACAATATGATCTACTCCTGGTTGGTGCGGGACAAAGATAAAAATGACTTTGTTTGGGACATTGGAGCCCTGGAAAGAACCAACAGGGTGTGGGCGCAAACCATGGACTTCCTGATCCTTCCCAGGTGCTACCCACACGTGAGTCCCCCCATCGTATTAACGACCATTTCCAGGGGCGATGGGGGCTAGCTACAGTGGGGATTATTAATATAAGTAATCCCATTAGAGCCCGGAGGGTTAAAGTCTGGGGTCCCATACGGGTCATCTTAGAGGGACACATAAGGGTAGTACTCTGAATAATCTCAGGGGGTCCTTCGGCGCAACTTTAGCTTCAGGGGGTTATCAGACCGTTTGAGTTCCCAGGAGCCGTCCACTGGTGCCGAGGCAGGCTTTAGGTGTGACGCGTGGATCCAAGAGGCGACTCCGTCAACCTTTACCGCTGTAGGAGTAGTCAATAGGACCTGATACGGTCCTTTCCAGCGAGGCTGTAGAGTCTCTTGTTGGTGGCGCCGGATGAACACAAAGTCTCCCACCTGGTACGGATGTGGCGCGGGGAACTCACTGGGAGCATAGGCCAAGGCTAGCTGCGTCCACACGTCCCTCTGCAGGTTGTCAAGGGCGATGAGCCTGTCAGACAGGGAGGTTGGCAACAAGGCAGCATGCTCAATTAAGGGAGTGAGATCTCGAATGGGGGGTGGAGTGCCAAAAAGGACTTCGAAGGGAGTAAGGTTAGGGGGTTTGGTGGATGGGGTGTTTCGCGCGCGAAAAAGGGCATACGGCAGGAGCATCGTCCAATCTTTTAAGCCAGTCTCATGAGCCAATTTAGTGAGGGTCTCTTTAATAGTTCTATTCATTCTCTCTACCTGTCCTGAACTTTGGGGTCTATAAGCACAATGTAATTTCCAATCAATCCCCAATATGTTGGCCAGTCCCTGACTTACCTTAGCCACAAACGCCGGTCCATTATCAGACCCTATTACCTTTGGCAATCCGAACCGGGGAAATATTTCTTCCATCAATTTTTTTGTTACCACGGCAGCGGTTTCCTTTTTGGTAGGAAAAGCCTCAGTCCATCCAGAAAAGGTGTCTACAAAAACTAGCAGATATTTTAGTCCGCATCGGGCAGGCTTAACTTCTGTAAAGTCCACTTCCCAGTATTGTCCAGGTCTGGTGCCGCGTAGCCTTTTGCCGGGGGCCAGCTTGGCAGGGTAGGCATTGGTCAATTGACATGCCTCACAATTAGCCACCACCCGATTGGCGACCTGACGTATGGCAGTGGGGGATGCCCCTGGGAAGTCTTGGCGTTGGGCCAGTAGGCTTAGCTTTTTAGCTCCCAAATGAGTGAGCCGGTGGGCCTGTTGTATGTAAGCAGTCAAATCAGGTGTTTTAGGGGTTTGGTTAATCTGAGCTTTCTCCTTTTGAGGAGAATCTTTGACATCAGTCACCAACATCTGTGAGTCTCCCATGGCTGCAGATTTTGCTGCCTGATCGGCCAGGTTGTTTCCCCTTGTGACGGGATCAGTCCCTTTCTGGTGACTGTTACAGTGTATTATCGCCACCTTCTGGGGCAACATAACTGCAGCGAGCAACTGGAGGATTTCCTGTTTGTGTTTTATTTCTTTTCCTGCGGAGGTCAGAAGCCCCCGCTGGCGGTATATGGCCCCGTGGATGTGGGCCGTTGCAAAAGCATATCGGCTATCCGTGTAAATGTTCACTCGCTTTCCTTTAGCAAGCTCTAGAGCCTTAGTCAAAGCAATCAGTTCGGCCTTTTGGGCCGAGGACCCGTCCTCTAGTCTTCTTCATCTAGGGCGAGCATGGGGGCTCGGGATCGCTGTGAGGACTGTCTTTCTCGTTCTTCTTTGGCCCGTTTCTTTTTTAACTTTTCACAGTCTTTGATCAGGTGTCCTTTTTCCTTACAATATGCACATTGATCAGGGTCTAATGGAGGGCGAGTGGGCTTTCCCTTTCCTGGCTCAGGTTTTCCCTGAATAACTGTGGCCAACATCTTAGTTAATTCCTTGTTTCGTCTTTTGTCCCTAGCTAACTCTTTCTCTTCCTCTGTCTCCCGCTTATAGTAGACCTTTTCCGCTTCCTTAACAAGATCCCTCAGAGTCAGGTCTTGGAGACCATCTAGCCTTTGGAGCTTACGTCTTATATCAGGGGCCGATTGTCCTATAAAGGCCATAGCTATCGAGCCTTTTCGGCCTTCCTCCTCAGGGTTAAAAGGCATATATCGCCGGTAAGCTTCCATCAGGCGTTCTAGAAAAACTGAGGGAGTCTCAGTAGGTCCTTGGGTAACTTCTCTTACCTTGGCCAGATTAGTGGGGCGCCTTGCGGCCGCCCGGAGACCTGCCATTAGAGTCTGGCGATAGATAGAAAGATGCTGCCTACCAGCAGGTGAGTTGGGGTCCCAGTTGGGGCGCTTTAAGGGGAAGAAGTCATTGATCCGGTCTGGTCTCTGGGTGGGTCTGCCATCCTCTCCGGGAACAGCTTTCCGGGCTTCCAGGAGGATGCGGTCTCTTTCCTCGGTGGTGAACAGGACCCCTAGGAGCTGTTGACAGTCGTCCCATGTGGGTTGGTGGGAGAACATAACAGAATCCATTAGACCTGTTAGCTTAGAAGGATCATCAGAAAAAGGAGGGTTATTGTTTTTCCAGTTATAGAGATCTGAGGTAGAAAAAGGCCAGTACTGTAAAGCGGGCATCTGCCCTCCATCTGTCCCATCGTCTATCATGGGCCCATAGCGATGGAGAGGGAGGGCAACGACTGGATCCTCAGGCCGTAGCTTGCTCCGAGTGTTCTGGGCTGGGCCCGTGGGCCCCGGAGGTGTGGGCTCGGGGCAAGCCATCGCAGGGAGTGGGGGATATAGAGGGGACGTGGGTACCGGAGGAGAAGAGGAATTTAGCTCAGGTGAAGAGGGGGCTGACGGAGAAGCAGCACTCGATTCGGACGAGGAGGCTGGAGGAGAGAGTGGGTACCGGGGAGGTTGAGTCGGCTGAGAAGGAGGAGGCTGGTCATAGTCGAGTAAGGGTAGATCAGGCTGAGACTCGGGCAGGACCGGAGCCGAAGTGGGAGGTCCTTTCAGAGCTAAAAGCTTTGGTACAGATGAGTCAGAAGGGGGAAGAAAGGATTTTACCCATAATGGGGGTTCCTCCCTGAGGTCCTGCCATACCAGGATGTAAGCGACTTGATCAGGGTGCCCCCTTCGTCCGGGGCGGAAGATGACGTCCTTAACTGCTAGAATGAGGGGCAGATGAAAAGTCCCCTCTGGTGGCCACCCCACAGAGAAAGCAGGCCACTCAGTCGAGCAGAAATCCTGCCACTTACTCTTCTTGACCTGCAAGGAGAGATCGTGAGCCCTCTTCCGCACCTCCGACCAATGGTCGAGGGTGAGGGACAATGGGGATGAGGTCAACTGTCCCATGACGTTCTATTGTCACAGGGCGGTTAACGCAAGCGCGGTACAACAAATAACCTAACACAGCACCCACGACACACAAAACAATCAGGCCGGCCACTTCATTCACATGCATACGCATCAGTTTCACTCCAAATGAGACACCTTACAGGATGTCTCCAGATTGGCCCGGGTGGACCACAGACTGGGAATCGAAATCCCCCAGATGAGTCACCTCAAAGGGTGTCTCCAGATTGGCCCAGACGGACCACAGATTGGGAATCGAAATCCCCCAGATTGATAGGGAGACCCTATCGCAGACGGTGAACCACGGAAACCGTGTGGGGCGTCCCCCAGTCACCAGGGAACAGAGTACGAAACAGATAACAAAAATTGCCCCTAGATCGGAGCCGTATGGCTCGGGGCGTAAACACCGGTGGTATGAAAAGCGACCAGTCGTACTCACCCGTAGAGCCGTTGGGGTCACCTCCCGTGAGACGTGCTAATCTCGCTGGGGCCTCCAAGATGTTAGGGCCAACGCCGCAGGGAAAGAGACCCCAAGGACTCAGCTCTTGGTGAGGAAAAGAAAGTTTATTTCCATGCGCATGGGGTCCCTCAGGCAAACGTGTGCGGAGGGGCCCCGAGGGGAATTTGTGCAGGGTTTTTAAAGGTACACGCAGGAGGCAAGCAAGTTTACAGAAGCAAATCGCATTGGTTAATTTTGAGCGGCGCAGGACCTGGCTAATGCTGATTTGAGGGTCTGGGGCTGAGTAACCATGGAGACCGAGGGTCTTGGGTTGACCTTAGAGTGCCAGGTGCTCCCTGGTCCTGTTTATACAGTACATTCTTTTGCTTATCTCTATCTTTACAAAGAACAGAACATCTAGTGGCTAATGACTAGCAGAGACATTCCTTTTGGCCCCGCTCTGACTATCTCCTGGGAAAAGGTTTAGGGAGTGAAGCACTCTTTACTGCTCTGTTTTGATAGCTCTGGGAAGTTAGGGAGTCAACTCTTTCATTCCCCGCTCTGGGGAGGGGGTTGTAGCAGGGGGGTCGACTCTCACACTTCATGTGTCTCCGTGGAATTTCCACCAATGGGAAACTCTTGCTGTATTCATCTCCAAGTGTTTCTGGGTAAGAAAATATAAGTAACAAAGGATGTGGTTTCAAGCCCAATGAGGAAAGGAGGTTTATCTTTATTTCAGTGCAGGTTGACCTTTCAAAGAAACAGTTATTCCTATGAAATAGGAGGTAAAATCTTTTGTAAAGAGACATGGACATGACCCGCTCAAGTTTATGTCACTGTTTTTAAAACGCCAAGTGCATTTCAGAAATTCTTGGCTGCTGAATTGCCCCTTTTTTCAAATTTCTCTTAGGTAAGACACTCCAGCTTCGTCAAACCATGCTACTGTTCCTTCCATATAAAAAACCAAAGCAAAAAAGAAAATAAATTAAACCAAACCCATCAAATTACATTTGAGAGCCCACAATTGCTCAGCAGGCCCACTATTCAAGAAACTAGAGGTACAGAAGCCTCAGCCTTCAGCCCATGGCCTGAAGTTTTGTCTCTATCATGGCCCCTCAATTCCCTGGCATGTCCACATTAACTCATGAATCTTTACTCATTTCCTCTTCAAATGCACAGGATCCAATATATTTGAACCCTGTTCACCTGGGCTGTAATCATCCAAGGACACACCAGAGGAAGGGCAGCCACCCCCTTGCCTGGGGCCTTGGAGCTTATCACAATAGAAATGGACACCTGAACAAGGGGAGCCAAAACAAAGAGAGGCATATTCCTAAAGTCTGAAGCACAGAAGCTACCTATAGACCAGTAGTGGGATTTCACAAATTATGTAAGAATCTCTATGCACATGCTTGGCATGGCCGCTCATGCCTATAATCCCAGCAATCTGGGGGCTGAGGTGGATGGATCCTTGGGAGTTCCAGTCCATCTTGGGCTACGAATTTATCTCAAGGCCTCTTTCAACAACTACATAAGATGCTGTTTCCAAAAAGAGGACAACAGAAAAGTAGACACACTTGGTCCAGGTCCCTGGGTTCACTCCATGAGTTGTGGAGTCTAAATATTCCATGCCATGAGAAAATACCTGGGATTTTTAGTGAAAGGGGCATTTGCATCCCTTTTCTAAGGGTTTCCCTTTCACCATGTTACATTTGAATTCTGAGAAAACCTGCTGGTGATAAGCTATCTAGCATTATGTTGGTTTAGGTATTGAGCTAGTACCTCATGTTTAGTGTTCAGGGTTATGCTGGAATGGATGCAGACCTCCTTGAAATAGCGATTGCAGACAAGTGAACCCTGAGGAAGCTGGATAGTTGAAGCAGGCACTCCAAATATTCATGCACTGCAAGGATTCACTTTCATTTTGGGACTCATCTTCTGGTTGCTGGCTTTTAGTGCTAACTGATACTACCATGGTGGCAGTAATCCAGCAGAGCCTGCATGTATGGTTTGCAGGTTTGCTTCCCAAGCCACCACAAACTTGGCAGAACCCAAATCATTGTGGCATTTTCTTTCCTCCCCTGAAACATTTGGCTTTCTAAGTTTGAAAATTGAATAGACTGGCCTAGTCAAGTTTGGACCCCATGTAACACAAACAGAGCTAAAGACACAGCCAATTACTTCCCTCCACTTGTCAAAATATGTCAAATTTGCTTGATCACCACAACTTCAAAGAAAATTCTGAGGCAACTTAGAGAGGTTAATCAAATACTGCATGATTGGAATGGCTGTGGTTGTATGAGGTGGAAAGCTGCAGAGTTGGGCTGAAACTGTTCACAGAATCCCACAGGCTTGTGGTTGCCAGGCAACCACACTGGGCTGAGACTGGCTGAACATCACTGTGAGGTGGATTTTAGGCTCTAGGTTTGAAAATTTAAAAGACTGGGGTAGTCAAGTTTGGAACCCATCGACCACAGACAGACCAAAAGTTCTTTCAATTACTTCCCTCCACTTCTCAAAATATGTCAAATTTTCTTGATCACTACAACTGTAAATAAAATTCTGAGGCAACATAGAGAGGCTAATCAAATACTGCATGATTGGAATGGCTGTGGTTGTATAAGGTGGAAAGCTGCAGAGTTGGGCTGAAACAGTTCACAGAAATCCACAAGCTTGTGGTTGCCAGTCAACCACACTGGGCTGCAATTGGCTGAGCACCATTGTGAGCTGGACTTTAGGCTCTAGGACACAAGTGTGCAGTAGGAGACCTGAGTCACAATGCTGGGCGTTGCCATGGAGACCTCAGTGGCACAGAGGACCTTGTAGGGCAAGTTTTAAATAGGATGAATATTCTTGGCCTGGTGTGCCACAATATTCTCTCTGAAGGCTTCACTGCTCAGAATTTGTGGATGGAAATGCTTGCCAATCTACACATGGATGTACTTTCAATGGGATATGAAATATGCCAGGGCCTGGCAGATGATCTCTGCCATGTCCTATCATTGAGCATACGCTTTTCCCTTGTCATGTCTGTCATTTGGCTGAGTACTGTTCCCTAAGCTATTCAGTCAAGACTTGCTGGCATCATTCACTGCAGTATAAGAGCTTTCTGTGAAATTTCTCAGCAGAAATCCTCTGCAAGCACATAGCTTTGGATATGAGAGACAGCAGTGGAAGTTGAATTTCAAGGGCAGATATTTGAAAACAATTTAACAAGTCCCGAATAAGATCTTTACATGTTTCCCAGATGAATATGTTTGGAAATGCGGGGGAAGATGGAGATCAAGCCTGAGAAGAGTGCACACCCATTTCAAGGTACAAAAACCAGGGAAAAACATGGGAAAGCAAGAGAGCTGGTTAATCTGATGTAAAAATCTTTGATGACGAAAGGAAAATTATATTCCCATGATGATACATTCAGGCTGTAGAAGTGAACTTCTCATGTTGGTTGTCCTATGTGTGGCCTTCTGCATTGGGCGGTGGATGCAGGACAGGAGATCTTCAAATAAATCTGGTGGAACACAAAATACTGAAAAAGAAATTCAGCCTAAATCCTGTGTATTCCTTCCCTTTGAGAACAGATATGGAAAATGTATGAAGTTTCAAAAGAGAAAATGTCTTTTGGGTCATGGTTTCAACAATGAAATGGTCACTTCACATAACATTTTGAATTTTGCTTTCACACTTGCTCATGTACCGGGCCTGAGTAAAGCAGAATGCAGAGTAAGCCTCTTCAATAGTTGTGCGTTCCATAAGTGGTTTTAAAACCAGGGAACCCCTTTGGACTTAGTGTTTGTATTTTATTGGTTGATTGGTTTTTCAAATTGTTTGTTTTACTATTTTTAACTTTGTGAGTCAGGGAAGCCCTCACTCATAGAGATTCAGACCTCTCCAAAAGCTCTGATGTTATTCATGTAACAGCTATTACATGTTATAAGTTTCTCCTATTAAAACTTGAAAGACAAACAGACTCTGCTACTTTTCATCGAAATTCAGTGTTGGGCTAAATTCAGTGTTGGACTTTTTACAAGTCCTTTGAAATGTGTCCTCCTCTAGTCACTGGTCGTGCTGGAATTTACTTTCTTGTGAAGACAGGATTTGAGCAAATTGACACAAGTACAGTTTGCCACTGCTCTGGACACCTGTTAAATATCT